CTTTTCTGTTTTGCAAATCCTTTTTTTGATTAATCTTAGGAAATAAATATTTTGACTGGATTTTTGACTTTCATGAGCTGTAAGCTATAATGTGTAATTTTAAATGTTTTACTTTACATGTAATGAATCTAGAATATATGAAAGTTTCACTTTTTGAAATAAGTTACCAAAAAAATTTAACTTTTTCACAATATTCTAATTTTTTGAGATGCACCTGCATATCAATGATTATATATTGGTTGCTATATTAATGATGTAGCAGTCAACATAATACTGAGAATCTTTCTTCTACAGAAACTGAAGAGTAGCTGTCAGTGTAGGAAGGGACAGGAAATTTGGCCTCTGCTGCGGTGCAGAACCCACGTGGTGCATGAGAGATCACGAGCGACAGATACATTTTACACATTCATCCATTTACTGCTGATTCATTCATTCGCTCATACACAATTCTCTATTACACAGTTCACTATATGAGGAAAGAGTGAACAAAAATGAGTGTATTCAGACATTACATACAACATATTCCAAATGACGAAAAAAATACTTAAAATGTGATCTGCCAATTCAGACTGAGGTGAATTGCCCCCAAAAAATCTAATTTTAATCTGATTTGGAATCACTTATGAATGTGGATTGGCTCGGGTTTGTAAATATCTTATTACACATGCTTGTTAGCCATTTAGACTACAAAAAACTAAATAAATTACATCTGAATCACACTGCATAAAAAAAAAATATTACTACATGAACTGCAAAAACTGTCCGTTTTAATGCAAAATTCATATTTACCTCATTCAGTGCATGCAGGATTTTGGAGCGAAAGGTGACTGTAGCGCACACTATGGCGATCAGCCAAAAATTGAGCATCACCCCTGAGGACTGGACCCCCTTCATCCGCTCATACTGGATCAAGAACGTAGCCAGCAACTAAAACACATCCAATTACAAAACACTTCAATTTTGTAAACATCAGGCTAGAAAAAACCATGACTAGACAACTTCTGAAACTGTAAACAATAATATGATATATGGGAGAATTTGTTTGACTTGTTTCCCTTTGCTCAAGGCAAGAAAACAGGAAACTTTCATGCCATTTGAAAATGAAATCAATGCAGAGCGAAGAGCAATTGACAAGCAAAGTAGTTAAATTCAGCACTTCCTTTTGTGAAAACCGGGTCTCACCATTGTAACGCCAAGCATTGTGGGGCTGACTAGGTAGACTGGGGCTATTGCAGCACCATGGCTTCTTTCCCAGAAAGAGTAGAAAACATCTGCCCAGCAGATAAGCCATAGGGTAAACCCAATAACCTGTTGGAGGAGAGTCACATGACCTTGAAACAGCTGTTGACCTAGGCAGAGTTATCAGTAAACACACTCCCAAAGCACACTGCTACATAAAAAGCATTGTACCGGAATCCTGTTTGTTAATACTCACTGTTTTGGCTCTGTTGAGGTGGGTCATGCATATGTATCCACGGTCATTTCTTTTGAGGTATAGGATGTAGAACGGTGCAAACAGCCAGAGGTAGAGGCAGGGAATCCAAACCAGCACTGTGTTCTGGAAACATGGTGTCAGGTCTGGATTGTGTGTTTGCCATGTCCGGTTCCAATCCTGAAAACATGAGAGGACAAAAGGGTGTTTCATTTCATCTCCGGAGATTCTTTGGACGAAACTTAGAAACAAAGTAACAACTGGAGTAGACACAGAGCTCTAGGCTGCCCAGCAAAGCACACAAAGGTCTAATGATGTGTGCAAGGAACAAACACTCTTGAGCGGATCTTTTAAGAGAACCAAAGTCAAGGATCTGTTCTGCACAACAGAGCAGAGCAGAGAGTCTTCAGCTTCTTGACAAAAACAAGTCTCCTTTAAGTAGTGACATCCAAAACATGCCTAAAAAATGAACTGAACCTTTTCTTACAAAGAAAATCTAATCTTGTTCTCTGTAGGGAGCGTCTCTTCCCATAATCCTGTCTCTGAGGAGGAATAATAGATCAATAAATAAAAGGCTGCTCTGCTAAATTTTCAAGACCAGGACATGAAATGTAATTTTCTTGACATTTGAGCTATTGAACTAAATGAACTTGTACAGCCATTCTTTTCTTTTTTCTTCCCCATTTTGGATTTGTAATGGCACTAATGTTGTGGATCTTTCAAAACCGGTCAAGAACACCACATTTCACTCCAAATTCACCGTAAGGAAGATATGTTTTGCTAAAAGAAAATAAGGCCTATGTTATGACCATTAAGACTTTTTGCATTGTGAAAATGTAAAAAAACGTAACACATTTTAACCGTAATTTCTCGTTATTGTAACAAGAAAAAAATTAAAAATGATTATTATTACGATTGTAAATGATTTATGTCATGGCAGTATTTGCTGTACCTTTAAATTACTGTAATACAAAAAAAGGTTGTTTGAACAATAAAGCTACACTTGAAAACATTTTCACCTCAAATTCCCAGTACTTTAACAAGGAAGAAAACAATTATTTAAACTTAAGTATATGTAGCACTAATTTTATGGAGTGATTGTAATACAAACAGAGATTGGTGAGCTTAAAAAAACAATGTTTAAAAAAATTACTTTGTTAAATAGCCTTCATTATTATTTGTATTATTATTATTATACATGTTTTTATATATATATTTTTTTTTTTTTACTTTAATATATGTTTTTTTCACCCTATGCCTCCAAACCTTTCATTGATAATCTTTCATTGCATTGTAGCCTTAGACAAACAAAGGACTAACAATGTAAACATAAAAGCTGAGAGCATTTCAAGAAAAGTAACATGTTTTCTTGGTATGCAGTCATCTGTCAGAGTGATTCATAAATTAACGCTTTGGCCCTCTGATCCTGAAGGGAAAATTGACTGCCTAAACCTGTCAAGACTACTACAACTAATACTGATAATCCACTGACCTGTCAGAACTTGCACGAACTGGAACACAAATAAACAAGACTTAATTATTTGTAAATATGACAAATAATTACATAAGTTCTCTAGTTAAGAGTAAACTATCTAGCATTAGAGGAATTAGCTAACCAAAAGCAAGTCAGAGCAGTGACAAGTCAACCCTTAAGCTTCACACTGTGATAACGACACACATTGAGCAGGTGATCGTGTTATAAATCACTCTTACATGAGACGGTTAGACTGTCATAGAGAAATATCAACACTACAGTATTAAAGTCCACAGAGAGTTATATGCATAGGTAGTTGCTGTGTCGCTAACCGGTTAGCATAGCAACGGTGGCTGCGTCTCAAAACCTACTAAGCTGTCTACCTAGGCAGTAAAATTCGGCGTTATAGGCGCATTCAACCCAAACTCATCTCTTCGGACGTGCAATTGATGCCTGAAAATACTCTGACCCCCACAACAAACGTCCAAACGCGCCTATGACGCCCCGAAATGATGCCTAGGTAGGCTGCTCGCTGTGTTTTGAGACACAGCCAAGTGTCTCCCGGTGAGCCTTGGCAATCTGTTGAAAACAAAATATAGTCAGAAAAATACAGTTCACGACAGTAGAACTGTTTATTTACTCACCCAAAATGGATCAGAACCGTCCAAACTACAGAAACTGTCAATACCCATTCGCCGCAGGAAGGATCTGTTAAAGTGGCTGTGTCGCTAACCGGTTAGCTTAGCAACGGTGGCTGCGTCTCAAAACCTACTACGCTGTCTACCTAGGCAGTAAAATTCGGCGTTATAGGCGCATTCAACCCAAACTCATCTCTTCGGACGTGCATTTGATGCCTGAAAATACTCTGACCCCCACAACAAACGTCCAAACGCGCCTATGACGCCCCGAAATGATGCCTAGGTAGGCTGCTCGCTGTGTTTTGAGACACAGCCAAGTGTCTCCCGGTGAGCCTTGGCAATCTGTTGAAAACAAAATATAGTCAGAAAAATACAGTTCACGACAGTAGAACTGTTTATTTACTCACCCAAAATGGATCAGAACCGTCCAAACTACAGAAACTGTCAATACCCATTCGCCGCAGGAAGGATCTGTTAAAGTGTGCTGGGGTTACACTGCCTCCGTTTCATAACCACTGCTCTGTGTGTTATGATGTAGTGATGTCCGGTTCGCGAACGAGTCGTTCGATTTAACCGGTTCTTCTTAGTGAACCTGTTGAACCAGTTCACCCAATCGGACTGAATCGTTTGTAACGGTTCGCGTCTCCAGTAAGCATTAATCCACAAATTACTTAAGTTATTCACTTTTTTTAACCAGGAGGACAGATTTGATATCATTACGTCATCGCGAATGACGTCAGTACGTTAGGGCGTAAAATAACAGATGAACCGGTTTATTGAAACGAACTGTCCGAAAGAACCGGTTCGCGGAAAAGAACCGGACTTCCCATCACTATTATGATGTTGGGGACCTGTATAGAAGTGGGATGCATGAGCTGAAATATAGGGGGCGCTGTCACTTCATCAATTTAACAACTAACGTAACGGGAGTCACACACATGACAGTATGGCAAGCTGTTTTTAAAAAATGTTCCCCTTTAAAACCGACTATTTTCCTGCTACTAGTACTTATGCATTACATTCTTAAAATGCTGGGTGATTTATGGGAGGTTCTTTTTTTCATTGTTGGGTAGTTTTTGTGTAACCAAGTTGTTGGGTTAGTGGCTTGGACAATCTCACTTACAGTTGAAACCCAGCCGTGAGGGGTTTTTACATCGTATACAGGAGAGAGCAATTAGGTGAATTAACGGTTTGTGTACATTTTATTTTATCTATACAGTCATTACTGTACTGTAGGCTAAGTCATTTTACTTTATGTAATGCAATAAATAGGGACAAGATGACAGTTAAAAGCACGTCGCAATGGTTGTTTCACGTGATGGAAACATCTGATGCCTTGCATTAAATAAAATAACTTTTTCGTAAAGATACTGAATTTAATTACTTTGAATGTTAAAATACATTCTTAGAACTGTGCACTGTTTATGTATAGGTGTGCTATAAGGAGTCAAACGAGGCATCTTTCTACTATTGCCGGTCTAATACTTAACTTGGAAGTTAATACTTACAGATTAATTTAGGGGATTTAAGTTGTTTTTGACCCAGTATTTTTTAGTGTACTAGTACTTATTTTTTAAATACTACTACTTATTCTTTATATACTACTACCTTTTTAAATATATACTAGTACTTATTCATTAGATACTAGATACTTTATACTTTACTAATTTTAAAAAAAGAGTAGATTTTTAGTCACTATTAACCTTTAGACCAAAGATATTCTGAACCTATTAGATACAAGTACTACTAAATGAATAGATAATGGGAAATAAAAAAAAGAAATAAAAAAGTACTATTAGAATGAAAATAGATACTAGTAAGTTTCAAGGATTAAATGTTAAATTGGCTTGCCATTCTAGATATGTGTCAAACTGCTTGTGAAAACCATGAAATTAAATCATAATGAGCTTGTATAATGAGCATCAACCTGAGCTTGATGACTTTTTAAGCTTTATCAGGTATACTGGCCAGGTTAAACAGAAATAATAAATATTGACTTCAGTCAAGGCACTTTGACACTTTGACAGATAGGCTACAGATAGTCATTTAGTGTTTAATGACCTTTACAAAACTGTCTTTCAGTAGAAAAGCCTCATCATTTGCATAGACTGTAGGTTATATTCTGATGTATTTGGCTGTAGGATGGTCCAAATGACTTGCTCCACCCACCAAAGCCAAGTCTGTCCATAAATTAAGGTTTAAAAATTAATAAAGATCATCCAAGGCACTCATTTTTGGATACTGCTCTAAGCATACACAGACACTGCAAAAAAGAAGAGGCTGTCGTAGCATGTACGTATTAGATTTATGCTTCGCTATATATATTGTGTATACATTATAAATGTAATTAAAACTTTAATTAAATATATATTTTATGAATAATATATATTTTGTAGCATCGAGTTATATTACTGTATCTTCAAAAAAATTAATAAAAAGCAAACTTTTCTTGGTTAACTGTAGTTTCAGTTAGGCTTTAATGGTAATATAATTTATTTGTTATTATTATTATAATTTTTTTTTTTTGTAAAATGTTAATTGACTAGTGTCCTCACATTTGCCTTATTTTAGGGTGACAAGTTGAAACTCTTGAAATGTTTTGTAAGAATTACCTGTTTATGCACTGCAGGGTTATTGAAATATTGCAGAGATCAAAAAACATCTGTAATTTTCTTATATTTAACCGTAAAAAATATTTTCTAAGGACATGCTGACTGTAAAATGTCCTGGAAATTTGTCATGCAAATCCAGTACTTAAACACAAAACAGGCTATATAAATTGGCACCAATATGTCAGTGGTGTGTGAGGAAGCTTTTACTGGACACACTCCATATAAGGAATGATCATGGGGACTTTATTATCACCTTTCAACAGGTTTACAGCTGTAGAGAATAAGTGGCCCTTGAGTGGCAAAGATATGGCTGTGGTTTGCCTGATTAGAATATAAAATAAGGCTACATGTTTGCACATCCATCAGTAGTGTCAAAAAGGCTAATACAGACAGATGATAAAACACATTTCGTATTACATCATAGAATAACTCACAGTAATACTTCAAGATGACCAAGCAACCAGAAAATGAAGACAGCAGCAAGTTCCTTTTCCTTGACAATGACTTCAAAAACAGCGGGGTGGCCCAGGCCGATTGGTCGACCAAAAAGATGGTGTGGATACCTTCAGAAAGGGAAGGTTTTCAGTCAGCCAGCATCAAAGAAGAGACAGGGAATGAGGTGGTGGTTGAGTTCGACAATGGACAGAAGGTGACTGTCAGCAAAGATGAAATCCAGAAAATGAACCCACCCAAGTTCAACAAGGTTGAAGACATGGCTGCACTGACCTGTCTGAATGAGGCCTCAGTGCTGCACAACATCAGGGAGAGGTATTTCTCAGGTCTCATTTATGTAAGTTCATTCAAACTTCACCTTACACAGTTGGTTAAACTACAAAAGTCTTTATTTATGATCATTTCTCAGTCATAGGGGTTTTCAAAACAGGGCACACAGACTTCCATTTCTTTTTATAATTAATGTCAAAAACAGTTGCTACTTATTTGCTTTTATGGAAACTGTGATACTTTTTTTTAGGTTTCTTTGATGAGTAGAAAATTCAGAAGTACAGCATTTATTTGAAATAGACATTTGGAACAATGTAAAAGTGTTTACAGTCACTTTTGATCAAATTAATGTATCCTTGCTGACTAAAAGTATGAATTTCTTTAATATTAATTAAAGAAATTCATTTATTCATTTCTAATTTCTTTCAAAAAGAAAAAAAAAGAAAACTTACTGACCCCAAACTTTTGAATGGTAGTGTATATGAGTCTTTATACATTCAATATTATGCAGTACACTTATTTTATTTAAAATATATGCATTTATACTTTAGAATGGGGGTCACTTCCAAGGGCATCATCATATCCGGGAGTCTTTGTATCTAAAAAGTTGAAAATGCCTTATAGTGTGGAAAAAATTAAGCATATTTAGTATGATATTGCAGTTTCCTGGCATACATTTTGAATATTTATTTGATATTTATTCCAATCCAGACTTACTCAGGCCTCTTCTGTGTGGTGGTGAACCCCTATAAGTTCTTGCCCATCTACTCTGAGAAGATCATTGAGATGTATAAGGGGAAGAAGCGTCATGAGGTTCCTCCCCACATCTATGCTGTCACTGATAATGCCTATAGGAACATGCTGCAAGGTGACCACCAGTCTTAACTCACTGAATGCACCTTATAAAAACTATTAGAAAATTCACAGGCTTACTGTGGTTGGTATAGAACAAAAATCATGGATTTCTTCCCTAAAGTAATTCTTTCAGTGTTGTGTAATTGTGCAACGCAAATATAGAATAATAAGGAAACTGTAAAAATGAAGATTATTCATAGTTGTTCAGTCCAGCAGAGCCAGCTGTGTATTGGAGAGTGTGTGTGTGTGTGTCAGAGACTGTGTTTTACAGGCTGTGGATTAAAGGCATCAGAATTGCCATACAAGGGGCCTTTCCCTTTCTCACTGAATTTTTTTTACAGCTATTTTTGGAAGGATGAACTGAAGTTAATCTCACCCTGTACTCAATTTAGAATATGTAAGATTTTGGAGGTTGGGATCTCCAGTGAACAATAGTGGAGTTTGTGTTTAGACAGCCGGGCCCCTTGTTAATCTCGTTCAGGTTCTTAACTGTGACAATTCATGCATTTCTTGTCCTGTCCTTGTACCGAGTTCAAATGTTTCTGTTTCTTTCTCCACAGAGCGTGAAGACCAGTCTATTCTCTGCACGTGAGTTCTAAATGCCCTACGTATTGTTTGCTCCATATACTCTTAAAAATACATTTCTAATGAAACTAGTCCTTTAATCTCAAGGAAACTCAGGAAAGAAGTATCCACTGTTTCTGTGAGGCACCATTCAGTAAAGATGTAATCAGCAGATACATTTGCAAGAATTACCAGAGCTTGAGTTTGACTGGTCAAATATCACATGGGCCATTTATATGCACTATATCATCAAATTTGCTAAGCAGCCTGACATGTAAATTATTATGCAAATGATTATGTGACATGTGGCAGCATTCTTTA